TGATGACCGTAGGTAGCTGAAAATGTTATTAATCTGTAGTAGTTTTGTAACTCTTCAAAGACAATTACTTGCTTCATCTGACAATGATGCTTGTAGTTTTCCCTTCATTGCCTACTCTAAAATTTGCCTGCCGTCAAAAACAATATCTTGGAGCCTTGTGCTCTCTATAAAACAAAGACATTTCCGCAGCAAAACTCTAAATAGTGCTTTCAACATCAGCTTCTCTGAATTACAGGGCCCGCACATTTCAAGCAGTCCGACTTGTTGCTAAAAGCACCCATATAAACTGTTTTTTCTTTCACTTCCTCTTCAACAGTCTCGGAGTCTAGAATCGCCTCAGCGTAATTTACGGAAGTGCTGAATAATGGATTAAAATGTGTTTTTTTTTTTTCTAAAGAACTGAACCTGACCCGCTAGAAAACAAGCCACCCGAACTCAATGACCCGTAAAATTGGAATTTAGTAGTAAAACAAGGGTATGATTTTTAAAATATAGATTTCATTCATGATGCAGTTCAAAACTACGGTCCAAAAACAGTCCATCCACATAACACAATTGTATACGAAAAGTCAGGGAAGAAGCCATAACATTCAAAGAATGTAATTTAATTAAAACTTAGAAAAAGCCGTTCTTATAGAAATTAAGCCCACAAATGAAAAGTCACAAAGTCAGTATACAGGAATATCAACAACCAGAGTAAGAAGCCAAAGTATTCAACAGGCCAACGTAAAACTGATAAATCTACAGAAAAGCTTCTTGCTCACTGACAGATGCTCTCAGGCTTAGGAACCTGTGTATATGAGATTAATGTTACCAGCAGTTTAGATTCAGTGTTAAACTATCACTAAATAAATATATAAACAAATATGTAAAAGAGCAGTTCCCAGAGATCTCCAATAAACCGTAAAAACACCGTACAACTGAGTTAATTTCAGAAGGTAGACTAGCACAAGCTGAACAACAATAAAGAAAATAACAATTATATTGGAACACAAACAAAGCAGCGGAATGTGCTTCTCCGACTAGACTTAGAACCCCGGATAAATAAAGCATTGAAATTAATAAATTTTAACGATAAACTACTGAAATTCTAATCAGCCACTCAGCAATCAAACGCCTTCTTACTAATTATGCACAAATTCGCTCGGCACAAACAGTTTGGAAGAAACACCTTGTTCCACCCATAAAACTAGCCTATTTGGCAAATGACCGCTTTTACTTGCTGAGTCAACTTGGTTTACTAAGAATAACGTAACACTGACTAGAGCGGGTGAGGGCAGATAAAAAACTGTTTTAAAAAAATCCAATATTAAAGATAAAAATTTTTGCCAAATAACCTTTACAATTTCAAAATCTAGTCGCCAAAAGTTACAAACTGGAAAACCGCAATGATCAAATATTACTGAAAGATTCGTCACGTGTTTCCCTGTCAACATCATCAAAAACCGGTGGAGCAGAACATGTGCTAAGAGTATCCTCTTTTGGAACGTTTAGAAACGATTTTGCTCTAGCGCTGGAATCGTGCGTCGAATTTTTTACGGAGGTCCGAGGAGTACTGCACGTAGCCGTTGATGAAAGAGGTGATGTCCTTGACGCTAACGAACTCCTTGAACGATTATACGGTCGCTCGCGAGCTGTGAACTCTATGTACTCCTAAAACTACTTTTAGCAAATGCTTTGCATAAAAGAAAATAATGTTAATTAGACGAGTTACTTTTGGCTAATCATTATGTTGGTAAAAGCAGGCTTCACAAAACCAACTGTCTTCTATATCAAAAAGCCTAAACAGCTCACTGCTAGTGTGCGATATATTGTTAAACTTTAACTTGAAGAATAAAAAATTATTAAGATCACTAAACCTTAGACAAAATAATAAGAAGAAATCCTTCCAAAAATAAATGTTTTGAATGATGCGTTACTTTCCCAAATTTAAAATAGTGTACAAATGAATGAAGAGGTCACAAATAGTAATGACAATAAAAAAAGCAACTACAGAATTTAACGACGACACGGGACTACATGCACCACTAATTATAAAGCAGAGAATCACAGCACAATTTTTTGCCTCACACATGTCACTTATATGACCGTTTGCCAACTGACTGTTTTTTACTCTAACATTCGCTTAATTTTGTTAGTAGTAAACAAGACTCTGAACGTAAGGAATTAGCAAATACCTCTAGCAAAATTTGAAACCTTTGTAAAACCAGACTTCCAAAAAGAGAGATTTCAAATGTCCAAAGATTTATCCTTCTAAACATGACAGCAAATACGCAATCTTCTCAGCTTATCCTAATTAAAAACATTGCTCCTAAACAATTCCATGATATTTTGAACTTTTATTAAATCTACATAAGCATCACTACCCAAAATTAATAAAAAATTGCGACTTGCCTTGCTTGAATTTTCGTCATCGTCTTCATACACTAATGAAACTCCTTCATGATCAGGAGTAACTCCAGCACTTTTCGTCCCAGCGGAACCAAAATCTTCTTCTGTCGTAACCCGTGAGGAATAAACGAGGCTTTCATAATCATCACGCTGCGCCTCCATCATCCTTTCCGTTATTTCCTATACATTAAAAATTTTCGAATTCCCCTGCGCAAAATAAAAATAAAACGAAGAACCAGATTCCAGCATGACTTCAAAATATATAAAACAATTTACACTTGAATCCCTAAGAAAAATTTCTGTGTTGTGGGAAAAACCTCAGCTATTTTCGAATCAGTATCGCGAAATCAACACAGATACAATCTGACCTCCTCATATTCCTTCAGCACTGTGTTCTGCTTCATGAGGAAACTCTGCTTTGCCCGTTTCAAAGTAGTAGAAGGAGTATTCGTCCCACCTGTCAATTCCAGTTCTGGAATTTCTTCATCTTCCCCGACTTCATCCTCGTTGTCGGTCGTGTGTGGACAAGTATCCAAATTATCATCATACCTTTGAGCCTGAACACCTTGTTGATCAGAAAGCAACATTACCTTCTTAGTTTTCTGAACAGGTCTAAAAAAATCCTTTGAAATTCCCTAATAAACAGCAACCTACAAAAATAGGACTTATTCTATCCTGAAAAAACCTCTGAAAAAATCAGAAGAGTTCAGCTTCTGCACAGTCTAAAACAGCCATCTCTGCTAAAATTGAAAGAAACTTTGAAAAAATTCAACACTGTGCTAGTTCTTAAGGACTTTCTAAAAAAACTACTAGACAGACGTCTAATTAAGAAAATTCCTAAATTTTAAGAAAAATAATCAAATCTTTTCTATAGTGAAAAAATATTAATACATCATCTGCAATATCCCGTAATTTTGGCAAAATGTCATCGATATTTATTGCATCAGTTATAGATGTGTATTCATGGTGTCCTCGTCGACGACGTATACTTCCACTAAACATATAAGTACAGAATTTCTGTTTCAATGTTAATATAAACGAGCAAAACGAATTCAAATTAAATTAAAAATACACCTCATTCCGCATTTTTAGCCAACTTTAGTAGTAAAGATTGAAAACGACTGTGACAGCATAGGGAGACAGTGAATGTTAAACAAAGTTAAAGAGAAAACACTGAAATTCAGAGAGTAAAAGAAGAATTACCAAGGACTCTTTCTTCTGACTGGACCACTAACTATTTGATTTAAAATTTGTGGATCCAAAGAAAAAAGACTTCCGTAGCGGCCACTACTAAAATTGATATTTTAGTCAAAATAAAATACATTAAAATACTACTATTTTTCTCATAAATCAATTACCAACCTGGACTGCGAAACTGAATCATTTCGGGTCCTTTCTCCACAACCGGTCACCGTAGTTGTACGAGTTCTTCTACTAGAGACTAAAAGACACCTTTTCGAGGTTCAAATAATAAAAGAAAAATAAGAAAAATTTACGAAGTCTTTACCCCGCGAGGTAGTATTAAGCGCAGACGACGGCTGCGAAACGTAAGTAACCTCCTGCGAAGTTGTCTAAAAATAAATTTTTTTGACAATGCCGTTTCAGTAAAAGATCAAAAGAAACACGGGTGTTGCAGAAAAATTTTTTTTGAAAAACGCTTACTGTTTCTTTTGGAATATTCGAAGGAATCCCATCAGGCTTAAAAGCTTCTTCACCATAACCACCACTGTCTTCTTTTCTGTGTTGGAATGATGGAAAAGTATGCGGTCCCGAAGACGGCAAAGAGCCACCCCTTTGTTGTGGCAGACCATTCATAATCACTGGTAAACTGCTTACTATCTGCCGCATGCATTCCAACACTTGGACCTGTAAGCGAAGAAGAATAAACGGGAAAAGCAACGTATTTCATATTAACTATCGGCATTGGCATCAGTTAGCGAGAAGCCTAAGAGTATCAGAACGGACTTAAATGCAGGACAGTCTAGGATTTTAAACCTTCCCCAATGAAGAAGAAAAACTACTAAAACCTGATAGGTATTTCCAGAAACTGAACAATTTAAATCTACTATCAATTTTACCAATCTTTCAAAAAGTTTCTATTTTTCGCTCGTCATTTTAATTGTTTTTAAAAATAAAGAGTCAAGAAAACCACCACTAATATTATTGAGATAATTGACAATTTCAAGTCGACAATACGTAAAAATAAACGAGTATAAGTGGAGACAGGTGATAAATTTTCAATTATCAGAAAAAAGTTGGAAAAAACAAGGACAACAAAATTAAATATTTTGTAATTAAACGAAAAAAATAACCAAAACATCAAACCTGCTGTTTTTCTAGGCTAGCGATTCTCTCATCGATCTCGTGTATACTACTTTTTAGTGCTGACTCTTTCGCTGTAAGGTCATTCAGCCTCAGCAGTATGAGATCGGTCCTGAACATTAACGTACTTCAAGATTTGTCTTCATTTAGAAATAAAGTTTAAGACAATACTGCGGAGAAAATGATATGAAACGAAATCTGGAAATGTCATTTAGCAAAATAAACCGTTCAGCAGTTCTGTGTATCCTTTCTTCATTTGACGTATTCTTCTTATAATCCTTCTCCCGTGCTAAGTCTTCCATACACTCCTCCTCAAAGTCTTGAACCTTTTCTACTTGGTCCTCATCCAAAAATAACTCTAAAATAGGTCACGTTTATTTCAATTACACATGTAAGCTTTGACAGCTGATTTAGACTCCATCTTATTCTAAAAGCAGCTCTAATCACAGCTCGTTGAATCGAACTAGCTTACTCACCAGTAAAATAATAATGAAATTCCTTTGGATAGAAAAGCTACTAACTTAAAGTGAAGTCAAATAATTTCTTCTTTGGTTTCGCAGCATCTTTCGCTCTCGAACAATAACCTCTGTAAAAAAGCAGCAGTAATTATAACATTTTTTCAAAACAGTGAAGCCACGTTGGGCGGAAGAAAGATCGCCAAGTTTTGGCAATAATAACTATTTTCTCCACCTTATTTACAGAAAATAATAAAAGGAGAAACAATGCCTTTTAACTTTTATATATTTAAATATCATCCAAAGATGGTAGATCGGAGTGAACGGAGGAGGAATGAATGGAGTACTTTCATACTCCATAACTTGGCGATACCGCTGGAAAAGCCATATTTCCTTTGATATCCTGTCGGTCTGATCAAAAATATTGCTAAAAGAATGAAAATTTAAGCTAGAACAGACTTTTAACAAGAAAGTTATTGAACTTAGATTAAATAAAGCAGTCAAAAAAACTGGAAAAAGCCAGCTAGTATTCCTTTAGAACAATTTCTATAAACTAACTTAAATATTGCCAAAAGCATGCTCATTAAAAGGATGTTTGCAACAAGAAGGAAAAATGTCATAAGGAGTGGAGGAACCCAGTGGCCAGGAACGCACATTTTGCCTGAAATGTTTGTTTGTTCATAATAAACAGCAAAAAACATTAACAAGTTCCTAACACAGAACCTCAATATAACAATAATATAAAAAGAAATCATAATGCAAACTGTTAAATATGAAATAAGGTAAAGAATAGGATTCGGTCACATTCAAGCAAGACAACAGCGTAATCTGAACAGATAGTAAGGCATTTTACGGGCATTGCAATATCGGGAAGCTGAATTACGCTTATAAAAATATCACTTTTTTTAATTTGCAGCAAAAACACTACAAACCGGTTGGATCGTTGTAGACGTCCTCAATTGGAGTACCATTTTCCATGTGCCGATCCCAGGCTAAAACACCGAATCTGTTTATAAAAATTACTTTTATCTGCTGCCAAGCAGCTCAAAAGTTCACATCTGCTGAGGAGCAAAAAAATGCTCAGGATCGCGAAAGAAAATTTTTAATAACCCAAATGATACAGCTAGTCAAAGTTTTTCACTCAAGGATTCACAAACCGCAGCTTTTTAGTGTTCAGTCTACGCTGTACAGAGGGAGGAAAAAGAGGGGGGATAAACAAACGAAAAAACCAAAGCTCGCTTTTAAATAAACTAATCTGCAAAAAAAAATAAAGAAATAACCAAGTTTCACAATTTAAAATAAAACTTGCACAAAAAAATGATTTGTGAATAGTCAAAAACCGTTACTTTTTGAGTATCTTTGAAAATAACAAACAAAAAACATGCACGAAAAATTTCTGCACAGGTCCTGAACAGATATAAAAAACCCCCAAGGGTAAGATTAGTACTGATTTTATAAACCAAGTAATAACTCCTACATAAAAGTTTTAAGGAAAACTAGGAAACCAATATTTAAAGAAGGCACATCATGCAAAAAATCATGCGGAAAGCTATGTCGCGCTCATGCACACGCAAAAAGTCGAGTGTTCAAGAAAAATGAAAACCTTCATCTCCACAAGGATCGATCTCGTCTGCATACACTTCTCCATAAAGCATAAAATAAGGTTTATAAAATATATTTCTCAATAAAATAGGGTGCCATTCCTCGTTCGGATAAGTAATTGACTGCCTAGCCAGTCCAAAACCCAAAAGCGCTACACAAAGCAAAACAATTATATACAGCATGTTTTGCACCTAAAATAGTCTTCTCTGCACTGTAACGCACGTTAATACTGACCCTCATTAAGAAAATCAAAACAAGACTCGATTCAACATATGATTAAGTACCATTTTCCCAGCCATTGTAATGTATGGACCTAAACGAGGGTGAACGCTCATAAAATCCAACAACCTTATCGTCCAAAGAACTGAATTACAAGCTAAGATGATACGTCCATAAGAATTCCTAAGGAAAAAGATAAGCGTATTTCAAAAAAAACCAACATGGCACTTTTAACAAATAGAAATAATAGACTGTTTCCTAAAAACTCACCGCGTTGCAGGATTGGCCCTTAACGCGAAACCTAGGAAATATGTAGTAACGGCAAGCGCCGTCAAAGCATTCCAAATATTCCAAAAAAAATGCCTTGCTTTTTGGGTAAACGATTTTGGCTCCGAAAATAAGTACTAGAATAAAATTGCGTTAAGAAATAAATTTAAAAAAATCTGTTTGAAAATCCAACTAGCAGTACTAATTTCTTCATTTTAACGACTATTACCTCAGCAACCGTAACTGCACAAAGCAAATCGAATGGTACAAAAATAAACATCCCTTTCCCCCAGAAAAATAGTGCGAAGATGTTTTTTCACCTTTCGCCAATGTTCCATTCCAAAAGCGAATACGTAGGCAAATGTGAACCATTCTATTGCTGTTACATGCACTGGAGTTCTAATCAAAAGCGTATAAGTGTAGCAACAAACGAAAAAACAAAAGCTAAGTGTCCAAGCCCAAAAGGTTGTTATTGGAGCAACATAGAACTCATACAACTTCCGACGGAACTTGATCGGTCTCTGTAACAAAATATGAGTAAGCAAAACGAAGTCTACCTCACCAAATGAAGACCTTGAATAAATGTCCGTTTTTTTCAAAGACTACAATGACGCAGAATGAAAATTTGGTAAAAATAAAAAAATTTCTTCCACTTACTGTCCGATCAATAGTTATTCCCACTATGTTATTTGAATGACTAGGATTCAGCATCTCCCTATCAGGATCTAACGATTTCCGGTGACTGTAGTGTGCGCCTGCTTTCTGTGGATGAGTCGAGTTAGCTTTAGGGGTGGTCACACCATCTTTCTGGTAGACACCTTCATCTGAAAACAAATATGAAATTAATATATCAACATTACACAACAGAATACACAACTGAGTTGCATGCAAAACAATCTAGAAATTTGATTCGGAAAGGCAGTGGAAAATAATCGTCAAATATCCTGACATAGACACTTTTTCAAGCTACATAAAAATTGTCATAGTTCTTTTCATTTTCAAAAAAATGATAAGGGATGTGAAGAAACACACGGTTATATCCCTTGACAGAACTTTGCCGCGAAGGGGACTTTTTGTTTCCCTGATGGTAGCTGAACTGGAAACTTTGCTGACTTTGAACAGAAGGAGCACGAGATCGAGCTTTTGTTACTCCGGAAGAAATGTGAGCAGGTGGAACTGAAAGACCAGATTTGTTTAAAGAATCTAAAAAGGTGAAAAATCAATTCCGAAACAAAAGCAGAAAACTCGACAGAAGAGGAGATAACACCACACGACTTCAATGCATTTCACTTAAAAGAAAATAAAAAGAAAGACTGATTAAAGTTTAAAACACAGAAAAGTTTCAGATAAAGAAGGAGTGGAAATCCATGCAACCTATACAGGACAAAAATGCATTTACATGTAGAGAAAATAAAAGAAATGTGAAGTTTTAAAGAAAAGAACTACGAGTTTGCTAGAAGAAACTCAGAAACAAAAAACAGTATTTTAAACAACATTCATAAGTAACAATGTGACCTTCGCAATTGAAGCGCCAAACAGTTTTAACTCACCGTTTTCTGTACAAATGGAAGACAGAAGAGGAACAGCTGGAAATAATCAAAATTTTTCTGTGAATTATTAAGTCTAAGTTATGTACGAATTTTTGATGAGGCAAAAACTATGCACTCAATTAGTTCGTATGCAAAAGATAAAACTTCATGTTGAAGAATAAGAAAAATTACCAGCACTACTCGCTAAAGTAACCGCAGCTGCGTTAACGAGATCACCTAAGACCTGAGGCGCAACACTTCCACTATTCGCCCCTGCTAGTTTTCCCTCCTTTTCTTTTGTTTGTGATTTTCCTTTTCTCCGCCTACTTTGAAAAAGCTGAAAAAAGAAACAAATAATATGAAAAAGACCACAAATCAAAATTCTCACATTTCATAGAATCAATATAGAAATGATTTTCTTTTTCTACAGCAGTTATGATTTCTTAAAAGTGAATGTAACAACACATTCTTCTGGAAGACAAATAATGTAAAATAAATTGCTCTAACGTACGCCAGTAAGATTTAAGGACTGCAGACTGTTAACTGAATTTTTACGCCTTTCGCCTTCCTGATCATTCTGAAATCAGTGAGATAAATTATACATCCCAAACACAGAATATTTGAAATTTTCATTTGAAAAAGCTTACTCTCAGCGAGTCGTCATCAGAACTGTAATCTGAATCCGATGAAGAAGATTCACTTTCAGAAGAAGAACTGGAAGAACTTGAAGTATCTTTGATGTCATCTTCATGTTCTGCAGCAGTCTGAGGCTGGAGCATGAGCTCTTCACGAGATTTGAATTCCAGTAAAAAAATTGACGGAGGGAAAAGGAGTCCCAGCACCACCTTGAGGTTGGAATGACTGTAAAGTACAAAATGCATGGCTGAAGCTGGCGAACAGACATCCCATTCAAAAAATAATAATTGAACAGATTTCCCGAAGAACTAAAAATTGGTAACAAAAGATATTATGTTATTTCTAACGACAACAGTAACCTCCGTATTCGTAATCCACCATGCCATAAGTCAGCCAGAAGAATTTGACAGCTAAAATTACTTTTTATGTCACTGTGACCTTCTTTAGTTTGTTTGTTGTAAATTTAAAAGAAAAAAAGCAAAGTTTCCAATATGAAATTCTACTCCACCAGGGATGAGCAAGAAATTCTTTGTGGTTAACCATAACGGCTAATGACAAGCAAGTTTCATTGCCCCAAGAAGCTAACTCGTAAGTTAGCAGTTGTAGAGTCTGCGCATCGTCTTGATGGTAACAGTGTTCCAAAAGTTCCAGTGCTAATTTTCGAAATTCCCTATAAAAGTTAAGAGACATAATCGATAATGAAGAAAAGTACCACTTCAAAGGTACTTTATTTAACAAAGGTCCCAAAAGTTCTTGGTTAGAAATGACTCACTCCGCATAATTCCGTAATTCGTCACATATTTCAACTTCAAGGTAGTCTTCGGCTGCTTCTTTTGCCAAGCTTTTGTACAGCCGACAAGCTACTAAAGCCTGCAAAAACCTCGTAACAATATAACCTGATATTATGCTCATTAATAAGATTATTTGACTGGAACCAAAAAGAAGATCAAGTCCAAGGTATGCAAAAACCAGTATTCCAGGTAATTATACCAATTAAAATCACAAACCCGTATGAAAACATTCAAACCACATTGGAAAAAAGTAAAAAAATTATTACTCAGACAGAAAAAACTAGATTCTTGGCCTCAAAAAAACTTATTCGTGTGATCTTCCCAAACAACAACAACAACAAAGAAAAAAAATTAACCTCCATAAACAACGCAGTAAGAAAAAACTGACTATATGACAAGAAGAAAGAACGAAAAAGAATTAAAACTGCTTCTCACTTGTCAGTAGAAAAAGCAAGTAGTTACGGAAGCCCGCTAGCTAAAGTGGATCTAAAAAATCAGAAAATAATTTTTGCCGCAAAAATAGGAAGCCTAATATGGTATTTTGCTAAGTTCCTGAGGGAAGAATTTCAACAGATTTTCAGTGATTTCTGCAGTTGAATACTTCATTCTCACCCCGTAACAATAATTTTAAAACGTCAGTTAAAGCCAAAAAGAAATAAAAAGCTAAATCCGGCAGCCTTAAATATCCAATAGTGAAATAGACAAAGAACGCAACTACGATATGAAATTAAGGGACTTCTAGGCAACTGCTACTAACAGAGCTACTGTAAAAACTGTAAAAACTTTTTCGCATTCTGCTAAGACGCTGTATAATGTTTTCTGTTCATAAGATCAGTTATTTCGGGTTATTACGCAATAGAAAAAAGATAAATCTAAAAAAGTTTCAAATCTAACAGCAACTACTTCAAAAGCTCAAAGAATATTTACAAGTGTAATGAAAGCCAAAACTGGATAATCAAATGAGGAAGAACAACAGGAAGGAGCAAAAAAAAAAAAAAAGAAACAGCTTTCAAAAACCAATAAACCAATTTCAAAATCAAAGGTGCGAAACAGCCCGTATGTAAAAATTTGTAAGTATCTATTTTAGCGGAGTTATTACGAGAAAACCTCTTTTAAATGCTTGAAATTTACCTTAGCCATAGCTTCCTCACCATGTTGCCACATACAAAGCGCCATCTCTTGCCGTTTAGTAAGTACAGCCCACAAAAGCAATTCACTAAAGGGGTATTTGAAGTCATCTTCTTCGTCTTCTACCGAAGATGCGTTTGAATCTGTAATTATAATACTTTTTGCAAAATAAGAAATTTAATCCCCAATTTTAGTCAACCGGGAAAGCGTCCACAATAACAACCAAATGACAGATATTTAACGCCTTCTCCAAAGACTTTAGTCAGATAAACAAAAAATCCCTTGTTTTCAAAAAAAAAAAAGGCGAAATGTAATGAAAGTTATAATCCAAACCATTCTCAATGTCGATTGCAACTTCTTTGTTATCTGGAGGAAGAGTGAAAACTGTGACCGACTGGAACGCCTGCATAGGGTTCTAAATTTCAAAAAATATTTACAGCGGAATAGCTGGAAGATTGAAGAGAGCATTCAAAAAATACACTGGAAGAGGAGTGGTGCCAGTGCTATGGTTCAGTCGATATTTGAAAAGATGAAATACTCTAAAAAGGAAAAAAATGATTTACATCTCTCCTCAATGCCGATCGCCATAAAAGATGAGTACTTAATGCTCTACTGCCAGATGCGGCCGACAGAACATTCCCAGTTACTTCATTGGCTACTGGAACCGGCAAACCCATTACATTTATTGTTTCTTCTGCCTGCTTCATTGCGCCTCCAGCAGCTTTTCGTTTCATCTAAGTAATTTCGAGTTATCGTACTAGAAGGAGACAATTTACAAGACCTAGCACAATCTAGTGCATATAGACGATTCCCAGATACAAACTTGATAATTAGTCATCGGGGTACAAGCAAACAGCAAAAAGTAGAAGATACCTTTTCTTTGTGCCGTGCAACAGTCCACTTTGCCAAGAATGCAGTGGTCGTATAAGTTGATTTGTAAGCATTACCCATAAGTTTTTCTATTGCAAGACCTATATGAGGCATACGGTAGCGGTACCCAGGACGGATTTTCACAACATCCCTAACTATGTAGTATAGTGTGTTGGGTGGCCCTTTGTCCTTGAAAAAAGACTCATTTTAGTCAGTAACAAATGTCAAACAATGTTTTGATGCAGCGGGCTTTTAACCTCCAGTCAAACTTACTGTATTGTAAAGATCTTCAAGCCTCGATATTGTCAAGAATTTTTTCATACTGACACCATTTTCCAAAAGAAGACGTACAAAATCTACGCGATCATTCATCAGTGCTTCCATCATAGCGTTACTAAGCGCACTTTTTGGCCAATCCTAAACCCAACAATGATTTCATTTTTTAAATAAATAATTGACTGTTAAAATTCATGCCGTGCAATGCAACACATATTACTGATGCAATCATAAACGTATAACCGTATAACTGCAACAAGTGCTCAACACATAGCGAAAAAAAAAAAACATACCACTGCAGTAAGCTGTAAAAAAAATTTAAATTCTCAACCGTGTCATTCAAAGTTACATATTCAGAAAATTCGTCTCTTTATGCTTCAAAATTTAAAAAATATGTACTGACAAAAAGACAAAATCGCTAGTGTACCTGCCCTAAAACGAAGATATCCGACCTCGCAATGTCTACACGATTCCAAGCTAAAGCTAAAGATAACTGATCAGGAGCAGACAAATTTTGGCCCTTCAATAATGCAGTCAAAATAGAATGATCCAAGTCCTGTTTTTGACCCTCTCCAAGGCGGAAAACCGTCATCTGGAAAGAACTACCTTATCCCGGCTTTAAACTGGTTTAGAGTATAAACTATGTTTTTCCTTTTTTCTTTTTTAAATGAAAGAAATTACCAGGTTTTTTTGGCGTGCGCATTTCGTAAGGTCAGCCAATAAACTTTCAGCATTCTGTTTATCATAACCAAATACACTTTCTATCAAACTCAATAACTGACGTTGAACGTTCTCAGGAAGTTTACTGAACCATAACACAATTTGAAAAATTTTTTTTCTCAACCTTACATCAAGCAAAACAAAAACAAGTTTTTAGGAACTTGTTAATAATGCCAAGACATACATGTGACTGTAACGCAAAACAATAAAATAAAATTTCCAAGAGTGATCAAAGGAGAAGAAATAAGAAAAATAAGACTGATCAGTCATACCCGTCTTCCTGCACACACTGATGCGCGAAAGCTAAAAGGTCAGCTGCACGTCCACTTCCATCACAAATGACAACAGGTACAAGCGGAGTGCTAAAAAAAGATTCCCTTTCCTGTCATAAAAACCTATGTAACAAGAGCCACTTTTGTTTACGACAACTGCACTGATTAGAAAATTTTGGCAGAGAATTTAAACGGTCTTTTCAAATGTAACGCCTTTCTTCCAAAACTCTGGCTCCTCCTCTTCAAACAGCGAGCCCACTAAATTAATTTTTCATATCTCAAAAAATTGAAAAATTAGGAATTTAAAACAAATTCCAATACCAACCTGGTAACGTAATCAACCACAGATTTAATTGTACATGTACCCCCCTCAAGTACAACGCAGACAACAGGCACACTTCGAGTACCGCCACCAATTTTTTGCTTTTCCGCTATATATGTTTCGAGCCGCTTCCGCAAGATAATATCAGCTCCATCTCTGAATGCAATTATGATAATTTATCTCTTCGATATCACAACTCATAAGACTTTCAGTACAGTCTATTTAGAACGTATAAAAAAAACACATGTCATTTACCTGCCTACTGTCCCATTATCAACCAGTAAAAAATGCGAATGACGATTGTTCAAAGATAATCTCCCTTTTGTTGAATAAGAGTGGGAATGATAGGGGACCACCACATCCTAAAATAAGTCTTCTTGATTCTGATGTAATCATTATCACAGATACTCTTCTTAATACCTTTAAAATAAACTTCTTCACTTAAACTAGAACTCCAGCTTACTTGGCCAATCAGATCCGCCTGTTCCTTCAGCATACCCCAAGCAGCAATACCAATACTTACAATTTTGGAACGCCCACGAGCGCTACTAGACGCTTCTAAAGCTGCAGCAACATGCCGCACCACACCCGCGTTAACCCCTAGATATTGAGATCGTTTCAAAGATATTTTCAAAAAATAATTACATTTAATCACCATCAAACAAACCAGATGTGATTATCCAAGCACCAGTAGTCCTCGCTGCTTTCATTAAACCTTTCCGAAATACCCGAGCCAATTTGGGTTGCAAACTAAAAGTGTAATCAAAAAAAAAAGCAAAAAGCAGAAACGTAAACAACCTGTTAAAGGCCGAAATGACAAAAATCTGAAGATGTAGGCTTATAAAAAAAATTGACTTTTGTGCTTCTAAAAGGTTCTACAAAATAACTCCACTTACTCAAAATTGCTCAAACCACCGTGTACAGTGATTATGAGCTTTGGTGGTGGCATACGCCAAACATTATCAAAAAGGTTCATGATATCGGCCGGGTCAGTTTCAACATTCAGCCTAAGATACTGTGCCTTGTATGGATGAGGTCCGCCTGAAAATGAAAAGGCAATTACTTAAAAAACTTTTATTCAAATCTTAAGTTCTTTTACAAAGAGTAAAAAATTACGATATTCTGCCAGAAAAACTGCAAAAAGCAAGCACGAAACAAAAGAAAAAAGGGACCTTGAAACTCAATAGTACCAAAAGCATCGGTGGGACGAACTACTGTGTGTTTCCGGATTGACCACCTCTCTCCAATCATCTTCGTTGACTTCCTTGTCTAGAAGCGAAAGGAAAAAGACAATGCAAATAGCTACATCGAAAACATTAGAAAAATAAGATAAAATGAGCGTATATGAACATAAAAAATAGATCTTCGAACATTTTAAACCACTAACAGAAAGACCAGTATCGCTACCACTGGCCGTAAGCAGCTTCCCTCTTAATTCTTCCTTTCCTGATGGTGCTAAATCATCAGCAAAACTAGCAACATTTAACAATTTTCCCGGTGCTTCAGAAGTAGAAGATGCCAAGGCTTCCGCTGAATGAGCAGTTTTCGACCTACCGCAGCCACATCTAGACTTTTAGCTGATTTCAAAATGCATTAAGAGTCATTTAAATTTTTTAAATGAAACTAGTGATTTGAATATAACCCACTTATTAAGGCACTTGTTAGATGGTATGAATTTGGCACAATCACGCTTTTTAAACACTTGAGTAATCCAAGAGCTTTGTCGAAGAGACTAAAACATAAACCCGACTGAATCAAACCGGAAAAAGTTTTTATAATTATAAAAGACAGTGAGCTGCGAAAAATGTAAGTGTGGAAAAAAAAAGATGATGAAAAAAAAAAGAAAAACCAACCAAAGAGCTAGGAGCCCGAGCTCTCATATACATAGCCCCCGAAACAGATGGTAAACCATTAGGATCTGACTGGATACCACTACCGGACTGGTGTAATGCATCCTAAACAACAGCAACATACTTTGATGGACTAAAAAAGTAAAGCGTCTTCCATATATATGAAGTTTACTTTTCAAAAACTCACATTGGAATCCAAGATCTTGGCTTCTTCGGTGTGTTTTGCATTGGCCGCCTCAACCAGTTCAAGCATTTCACGCCAGTCACTACAGTGGATATGTTTTTGTGGCGACGATGTGCCAACCATGGTAGCGTTCCGCGATCTACGACCATTCGACCACTGAAGACTCCCGTCTTCGTTAACACCAGCTAAAATTTGGCCATAATTCATACTCTCGCTAAGTTGCTTAACTAAAAACTGATTATTTCTCAGGACATTTTCCCCTTCTTCAATTTCCATGTTTCCATGTAATCGGCTAAACTTCCACTCGATCGAACTATACTTTAGATGCTGAACTCTTT